AAAGAAACCAGACTCTTGGGAGTCACTCATAGTTAGTGGGCATGACCTGGATGAAAACTCAGCAAAGGAGACTTAGAAGGAGTTGTCAGATAGGTAGATAGAGAAACAAGACAGAGCGATGTCACAAAAACCTAGAGTAGAGTACCCAGAAAAAGGCAATGACACTTTTGATGATTGCAGACAGGTCAAGTAGGATGAGGACTGAGAAAAAGTCATTAGATTTAGCAATTAAGAGATCATTGGTAATTTTGGAGAGAGCAGTTTTAGGTGAATGATGAGGTTGGAATCCAGACTTCAGAGGATCTAGAAGGGAGGAAGAGGAGAGGAAATGAAGTGTCATTTGATCTTGTGTTCTGGGACAATCCTGACTTTTTTCCACTGGGTCCAGGATGTGGTAGGTAGAGGTGTGGTTTATTGAGCAAGTCTAGGATTCTGAGGGTGGAGGTGACATTCCAGACAGGGTGGGGTTTTGCTTCCTACACTGCCCTCTGGCACATATCAGGATAGAGGAAACCCCTCTTCTAAGCTATCATGAGTTGTTTATCCCCCACTCCTCTAACTTCTTTATCCCCTCACCCCTCTACCTTCTTTATCCCCTCACCCCTCGAGTGAGGACAATGATGTGTTACTGAGCACCCAGCATGGTGGTTATCTTTATTGTCTCTGGAATCTGATGGCCCTGATGGGCCCAAAATATTGTTAACCAAAATATTGTTTTATTTATTTGTATTGGGCAACATGACAGGGTTATGGAATCATAGAAACAGAGTTGGAAGGACCTCAGAAGGCATATATAAAAGCAAGAATTCCCTCTACATCATACCTGACAAGTGGTCACCTAACCTCTGAAGACTTTTGAGACCCAGGTAGAGGATATTGCTTTCAGATACAGAAGTAACCTCAAGATCATAGGATGTCAGAGCTAGAAAGAATCTTACCAATCATCTAGCACAAACTCATCCTCCAGATGGGAAATTTGAGACCCAAATTTGAAGATTCAGTCCTCCCTGCCTGAGAAGGAAGACAAGGAGAAGGACGAGGAGGAGGAAGAGAGATGAATCCCCATTCCCTGGAGTTAGGAGAGGGGGCCACAGGCAGCTCAAAGTCTGCCTGCCCCTCTCCCCCTAGCCTTCCCTTACCCCTTTCCCCTCCATTGTCCTCTCCCCTACCTCACCTTTCCTTTTCCCTCCCTGCCCCTCCCTGCCTCTCCCTGACCCTCCTTTACCCTGCTGCCCTAGCCTGACTTGCCCCTGAGGATCCTGCCTGTGTGTGTCTGTGGGGGGGGGGCAGTAAAGAAGGAAAAAAACAATCAGCACAACTGGTCAGTGCATTAGGAAAACATGTGCAATGTGTATAACACTTGTGAATCTTTCACCTCCAGGAAGGGGGAGGGAGGACACAACTATATAAGAGTCAGCACTTATATTCTTAGGGGTATGGAAGTGACCCTGGGCTTCTGAAGGCTAGACCTCCAGAGCAGAAATGTTTTCTGGCTCTAATACACTGCTTTTTCCATTCAAATATTTGGAAGTATTGAATTAGTTGATGTTTATATGATTTTATCTACAGTTCCACAGATAGTGTCCCTACTGTCCATCCTACCTTTTAACTTTAAATGACTTTTTGGTTTTGTTATTCCTACAGTTAGAACTGTAGCCCCAAGTCCTGTCCATTCTCACTGGAGAATGTTATACCTGGTCTCTAATTCACTTCCCTCTATTCTTCCATTTCTTCCATAGCCAAAACCATATACTTGCTTCCCTGGAATAACTTCTGCCCTCAGAGCCTTGACTGGTGACTGCCTCTCTTGCAGGAAATCCTCTATTACCAGGCTTCACTTCCAATACACTCTCTCTGCTTTTTTAGACATCTCTACTGCCTTTGGGGGAAGGTGCTACCCACACCCTATCCAATGCCCTCCCCGGTTTTGGAATCATAAACTACTATCAAATTAACTCTGTAATTGTTCCTGGATGGGATGTGTCAATCTGCTCCACTATGACTCCATTCCTGAGCTCTGCAACTTGAAGTGCCCCTCTATGGTCACCACTCCCTTATGTTTTCCCTCTCCTATTAGAATGTAAACTTCTTGAAAGAAGAGACTATCTTAACTTTTGAATTTGTATCGCTAGAGCTAACTTTCCATCTTCCTGACATTGCTCTAAGACCATCATGACTGCTCTGACTATACCCTTCCCTTTTTTGCTCCCTGACTCATTTCTTTTCATTCCCACCCCTTGGTGTCCTCCCTTGTGCCCCAAGCTTTCTTATATGTATAGTAAAATGTGCCAAATAAAGACCAATTGTTTCTTAACATTTATAGGTCAGTCTAATTCTCCTGTGATAACCTGCCAATTCCCCCAAAATACTTAAATAGACTGAGGCACTCTATTTTTCACTTTTCCTATTATAAACTCTAAGACGGTATGGTCATCTATCTTCAAGATTCCCATCATTTTTATTTCATCAACAAATTCTTCCTTGTTGATGAAGAAACTGGCCCATAATGTTATTTCCCCCCACCACCTTCTAAATGATAAAATTATCATTGAGGCAAATCATAAGATAATTAGGTGCCCTACATTCAGCAGAGGGACAGAGGAAGTGGGGAAGAGAAGGAGAAAATGAGAAAGAGCCAGTATATGTATAGCTATTGGAAATCTCTCATGTCTACTATACTATCCCATCATATAAGATGTTATCAGTTTTCCTGAACTCCTAATTTATTTCACTTTTCTGTCCATCTGGTCTATAGTATAATCAGATGATAATAATGTGTATATCTCAATTAATCTTTTCCCTTATAGCCTTTGCTATGCTTCCTCGCTCTGGCTCCTGAATTTCTCACTTGACTATGCCTTCCTAATAAACAATGATATTTTTGGATCATTCTCCTTTACCTACGTTGTTACTTTTGATTCTTTTCCTGGCCCCATTCCTGGTTTCAGATTCCAAAACCATGTCTCAACCTCTGTTTCATCCTGGAATTTCCCTCAGCATTTTGGCCCTCCTTGCCCTGGAATATCCACCTACTTTTGTGACATTATCAACCAGGAACATCCTTCTGTAAGTCCCACTCCTTCATCACATTGGTAAATTTCTTCTGGGGCCTCCATTTTGTATGAGGCCGAAGCTGTTCTTTACTCTTTATTTGGCCCTGTTCCTGCTTCCAGATATCATGGCCATGCCCCCATCCCAGGTACCTTTATTCCCCTGCTTCTACCTTCTTCAAATCTCTTTTGTGTATTGTATATCCCTATTAGAATGTAAATGCCCTGAGCAGGATCTGTCTTTTTGCTTATATTTGTAATCCCACTGCTTAGCATAGAGTACTTGGAATATTTTTGTTGTTCAGTGTTTCAGTAATGATCAGTTCTTTGTAACCCTGTGCCAATGTGATCCATGCCAATACTGGCTATGGGGTTTTGTGGCAAAGATGCTGGAGTAGTTTGTCATTTCCTTCTCCAAAGTTAAGTGACTTGCCTAGGGTCACACAGCTAGTAAGTAAATGTCTGAGGCTGGATTTAAACTCAGGTCTTCCTTCCTCCAGGCCTAGTACTCTATCCACTAAACCACCAGGCTGGCTTAAGCTTAGAGTATAATAAGTACTTAATAAATATGTTTCCTTCTTTCCTTCCCTCCTTCCTTCCTTCATATGATTTTTCCGACAACTATACTAGTCATGGGGCCTATTCAACCAATTCTGAGTGACCCTTTTGAAATCAAATTTGCTTCCCTGTATTAATATCTCTAGTTTATCATGCCTGTTGCCCTTACTTTGTACATTTGTGTATCAACATCTGAGGCCATGGACTTTATCATTGTATTCTTTCTTCAGTTTTGTCTCCTATTAACTTCTGGGAATCCTTCCCACTAGTTTTCCCATATTGTAACTACTCTATGTTGTCTAGCTTTCTGGGTATAGGTAGACAGTTTTCTTCTTTCCCCTTTCTTTGCAATGTATAGCCTTTTGATTTGTTTTTCAATAGTCCAGAAAAAAATAATTTTGATCAGGCCTCATTAAATAAATACCTTTCCTGGTCAAGATCCCATAATTTGTACATTTGAAGCTATAATCTAGAAATCCAAAACCTGTTCTCAGATACCATCTTCTCAATCTGACATACATTTTCTAAGTTTGCCTTTCTCATCTGAAGTCTTTACTATAAATTGGCAGTAGTGATGAAAGCATCATCTGTATACTTCAAGTTTTCATTTGTTGCTCAGTCAATCTTTTGTACCCATGTGGATCACTAGAACTGAGGACTAATTACTTAGAAGCTTGGAATTTCAGCTTTGGAAGGTACCACAGAGGTCACCTGGCCTAAGCCCCTCTTTGCAATATACCTCCTATATGACCCTGGCCAAGCCATAAGAGTACAGTAGGAAATTAATCAATTTAATCCACCAAAAATGTATTAATTGCCTAGAGTATGTCACTCATCTTATACAATTCTTTCTCTGGGTGCCTCTTTTCAGCATGGTGATGACCGACTTATGGAAGGTTATGACATTTTGATGTGAGCTCTGACACATCTTAGCAAGCTGGAAAAAACTTTAAAGGCATGTCAAGAGATGGGCTGTGTCTGTTATTCAAGGTTCAACTTAGTACGCAGAAGCTCATTTTTAGAAGGTTAGTCATTGGGAAATGATTTTTTTTTCTTGTCTGTTTTTGAAGTCTGCTAAACTAAGGTGGGGTTTCAATATAATTGGAGCATACATGTTGATGTGGAACCAGTGATCTCTGAATTATTGAATTATTTTAAAGACATGAATGAATGAATAAGAATGAATGATTATCTTACTCTCTTCCTTCCCTAGTTTGGCATCTTTGGGTAATATTGGATATAGCATCTGGGGTAACCTCCCTCTCATTTGTCTCCCTCTACACAATCTACTCTAGGTCAGTGTATTCTGGTGGTCAACATCAACACAAAACCATGGCTCATGTGCCCCTATGAATGCATTTACTACTCAACTAGAGAAAACAACTATTTCAAAGCAAAGCATTTAATGAAATAGCATAATGAAAGTAGCAAAACAGTATTTCCTTCATGAACTGGAGCACATTTTTCCATAAATATATACATCAGTGAGATGAGAGGATATACCTAGAGAACATGCAAGATGAAACAGACACATAAGGGACATATATAGCCAGGGCACATGTGGAGGGGCGTGCATGCAGGGAATATGTGTGGGTGGGGTAGGGTATGTATGTTGCAAGACACATATGGAGGACCAACTCAAGCTTTTGACACCTTAGGGCTACTGATGTCTTCTGGTGATATCATAGCACTTACCTCTAGCAAGTCTGCCTTCTACTATTCTCATGGTACATAAGATCTCTGCCTAGTTTGGTGTATGGTGTATTTTGGTTGGTGCTTTCTACTGAGCTTTCCACTGTCCCAGTATTCATTGCCGATTATGGTCCTTGTTTTCAAAGATCTTATTCTAATAAGGAAAGGCAATTCACATAATGGACTGGTGGCCAGGGAGTGGTGTTTTGGACTAAGAAGTCACAGTGGAGCCATAGGACAATTGATTGACATATGATTTCTAGGATTGCTAATGTTGGTTTGATTACTGTTCCCAGAACTGGAGGTAGAAAGGGTTCAATGAAAGGATCTTGGGATGGAACAAAGATGTCCAGGAGGGCAGCAGCGTGGTGGATCTGATTCAGCTAGCTGGCGGGAGTTGTCAGGAGCTCTGTGGGAGGCAAACAAGTATGATATTAAGATGTCCAGAGATCAGTGGCCCACTCTTCAGTTTTTCCTGAAGCTGTTTCAATTTTCTCTCTCTGCAAACTATTATCAAAAAGGTGAGATGCCTGGGCTAGTGTGATTTATTTGGTCTCACTACTATGATTCTTCTGTTTGTCCTTGTAGTATCAGGCAGAAGACTACTGTGTTGATTCATAAATAACACCCGCCCTTGGGGGAAAATAAGAGAACGAAGATGGAAAAACCCAAGGAAAAAGTTGTCAGTTTCAGGGAAGCTGTAGGTGTTCTACCTACAGTAGAATACTGAGTCAGATTCCTGAATAGTTCTTGATGTCACAGTGAAAGACTTTTAATGCTTGGAGTACAAGAATAGCCAAAGAACATAACTGGGGTGGCCTTCATTTAGGGCTATTTATTTTCTGCTTTTTTTTTTTGAAGGCATTAGGGAAGTGAATTATTCCCACTTAAATAAAACATTCATTTCAATAAACATTAGGCAAGAAGGACAAGCAACCTGATATAATGTATAGAGAGCTAACTTAGGAGCCAGGAAGACCTGAGTTATCTTGCCTCTGTCAAATACTATATGGGTAACCTTGGACAAGTCATTTTATTTCTTAATGCTCCAGGGAGTTGTAGAGCTATGTTGATAGAGTGAGTTTCCTTATTGGGAGTTCCCTATAAAAATGAAATGGTAGGTCTATTCCCCTTCCACCCCTAAAACACACACACACACACACACACACACACACACACACACACACACACA